ACATCAAAGATGTCCTTGATGCAAGAAATACCCTTACGTCTGTTTCAAAGATGCCCTTGATGCAAGAAATACCCTTACGACTGTACTAGCGATTTCGAATCAGCATATGATTTAGTATGGAAAGAGAAACTAATTCTAAAATTGGCAAAGATTGGTATTAAGCATAAAATGCTAAACTGGATAAAAGCATTCATTTGACAAAGATCATGTAAAGTCAGATATGGAAATGCTCTATCAAAATCCAATCTTTTACAAACAGGCCTTCCACAGGGAGCTGTCACAAGCTGCACTCTTTTCAGTGTCTTCCTCAATGATATAGCCGAATTAGTACGGACAGTCACGGGTATCAAGTGCTTACTTTATGCAGATGATCTGGTACTATGGTATTCCACCCCTAAGAAAACGCTCAGGAGAGGACAGAAAGTGTCCTAAATTGTGCACTTAAACTACTAGCAAACTGGTGCGACAACAATGGAATGGTAATCAACACCTCGAAAACTGCATTCTGAACTTTTTCTTTGGCCCGTCACAGCATAAACCCTCTTCTAAGGTACAAGGATACTACCATAGAAAAAACCAATGAGTTCACTTACCTCGGAATGACGTTTGACACAAAGCTAACATGGAAAGTCACATTACTAAAATAGCAGAACGAGTCTCCAATAGACTGAATGTACTGAAGTGTCTTGCTGGTAGCGTATGGGGCTGTGCACGCTCAACATTATTTACAAGATGTTTATTCAGCCAATAATGTTGTATTGCTGTGAGCCACTCATTACAGCCACAGAGGTGACTTTCAAACCACTCGAGAAGTTCCCAATATTCCCATTTCTGTTAGTAATTGAATCGGTTTCCTTCGGATTCTGCATGACTTACAGCCATTTCATATACTTTGGTAAGTTTAGTGTCTGTTAATCCGAGAATGTTCAGGTTCTTCTTAAGTTAGGAAAAATGAGTTTTGTCCTTTCTCGTGGCAAGGTAGAAGTCTAGCGTTGTATCCCCACCAGTTCTTGGATGGCACTTAGTATATCGGCATTTAAACTTTTGCTAACAATAAATAATATGTGGTTAACTTTTCCTAGAAGCCTGGTAGAAGTTGTTATTTGTTTCGAAATCATTCATCACTATGTAAAGTGTCCTACCTTAGTTCTACACCTTTTTTGAACATCAAGAACACAGATTTAGCTGAAATCGCCTCCAGTTGAATACAAGCCCTATCACTTTGTGCATAAAAAGGTTATTATTCTATTGATTGGAGAGAGCATATAGTAGACGCAGAAAAGTCAGTAAAACTCAAAGAATTGTTATTGCTCACGTTAGAGGAGAATTTAGATCTTTCAATTCGGAGTTAAGAGTCATATTGACCGCTAAAACAACAAAAAATCGAATCTACGTAAGTCATTTGTCCAAAAATACTGAAAAAACACTGAGAGTAATTAAAGATCATGTCCGTTTCCGTTAAAATTTCCGGATGAAATTTTCGGTCAGAAAATGAATTTGCAATATTCAGGTGCATCATTCCGCTACGGTTAAACTTGACATTCCCAGCCCCCCAAACATCAGGTTCTCCATTGAGGACGAAATACCTCGCCTAACCCGATCAGGATCAGAAACCACCCACTGCGAATTGCGCACGCAATGCAAGGACTGGTTCATTAGGTAACTGCACTATTTGTTGCCATAAGCAATAAAAATAAAATTGATTAATTTAAAAAATTAAATGAATAAGGTACTTCTATAGAATGCATAAGAACTCTCTAGAAAAATAATTTATTTATTTAAATCAAATGACAGGCATTTTGATAGTTTCTTAGCCCTTTAGGTGACTTCAGGCCTCACAGAGGAGAAGAAATATCAAAGTGAAAAAAATTCGAGAGGGGGGGGGGAACAGAAGTGTGTTTCAAAGACGTAAAAGAGACAGACACAAAGGTAGAAAAAAGGTGAGGTGAGCACTGTGGAAATAGTCGAATATGACATACAGTGGGGTGATGGTAGTTAGAAGCCAGAAGTCAACTGCCGGTTAATAGACTTTTTTGCCGTATGGGTGTACGTTGCCCAGGGCGCACCAAGTGGAGGTAAGTCTATCGCACACCCCCTCTAGAAAAATAAAATGTCCTCTTAAATATCTTGTTTAAAGTTGACATTAATTCGGTTTTGATATGTCACTTTTAACAAAGAAAAGAGTGGCCTTCAACTATAGATTTTCTGCCAAGGTAATACTTGAATCGTTAACACATGAAATCCTCCGAATTCTGTTTACCCTCTAAACTCTCAATGTTACTTTTCCAATTAGGAGAATTTTCAGAGGAAAACTAAGGGAAACAAATATAACTTTCTATCTGGACTCGGGTTCGATATTTAGGCCGTCCATAATTTACTGGAACTTTCCATTTCCAGACATTTTACTTTGAATCAACCTATTACAGTCACCCAAATTTGTGTCCAATTTGATACCAAGTTTATATAAAATAGTAACAATTATCTCTTCAAATTGTCAACAAATATGAAGCTAATATTGTAAAAGAAAAAGTTCTTGTAATTATATTCGACCTCTTAAAAAAATGCTATTATTTTCCCTTTAGTGTGATTTTTCTGATAAAAAATTGGGTCCATAGGAAATCTAAATAGGCTCCATATCTAAATTAAAAGAGATTGATTGCTATCAGTGTACCTCTCCTCCCATGAACAACTAGTTTAGTGACTATAAATATTCGTTCGGGTGTAGAAGCAGCAAAACGAAAGAGGACTGCCGAAATACTTTTGATGGGAATAAGCTTGTAGCGGATTGATACACTAGTTATGTATATTGTTTTGTAGACTTGTAGCGGATTGCTCCCTAAGAAAGCCTGACTGACTCAGAAATATTGCTACTCTAGTAAAGCCTGACTAACTCAGAAATCTCTGGCTACGCTAGTAAAGCCTGACTGACTCAGAAATCTCAATGGGAGATCCTCCTACATCTAGCTAGACTCCCAGAACCAGCTAAACGATTCTCCTACATCTAGCTAGACTCCCAGAACCAGCTAAGGTATAGCCCAGCTATGAAGGAATCAGACGTTTAGCACGGATCACGTTTATTCAGTGGGTATATGACGGATAACGTGTACACGCAGGGAGCTACTCATGATCAGGATGGGGGATTAGGTTAAACAAGGTTCGATCATGATCAGGATGGCGGATTAGGTCAAACAAACAGAGGCTAGTGGTCACTGTTTGTACGGTCGCTGCACACAGAGTTGCACGGTCGCACCTCCCAATCCTGGTGAGCAGACATGCAGGCATACTATGACGCACAGAGCGATAGCGTGTGCCACAAGCTAATGATCTTTGTTACCTCCGAGTTTAATGCAAATCAAAGAAAATCTTCAGCATTTATGGATTATAAAATAAACTTTTCATCGAGTTTCAACTAACTCTAACTGATAGTTCCAAGCCCTAAAAAATAGAAAACCAATTATAAAATACGTTTGTGCAAATGTACGATTTGAACAATGGTAAGCAAGAAATTGTTTGCATTATTATAGTAGCCTGTTTTTCATTAGCGAATGCCTTTGAAATGCTTTTAAAATGTTACTTGGTTATTATGTAATCCAATTATAAATAAAATGGAACTAGGAAATTTTTCATATTAGCTAAGATAGTAATTAACCAACAAATGGATTTCTTATACAGTTAAAGATGAAAACCCTGCGAGTGAGAATAATAACAGAAATATGGTGATTTTATCTTGAAAATGAAGGGCTGGAATTTTAACGCCAACTGATACATTTTTAAGATTGCCTAGCTACGTAAATTACCATGTTGCGTTGGAAATATAGTCCTATTAGCAGCGTGAGTACACGCCTGACATATGAATAAGGTGATAACAAAAAGATGAAATAACCAAATTCAACTTTCTTTCAGTGTTCAGTCAGAAAAATCCGTCGATTTTAAGTGTTGCTACTTATGGATTGCCAGTAGCACAGCAACTTAAGAACATCTAAGCAACGGTGAAAGAGTCCAAGAAATCTGAGATTATTCCTCGCAAATCCTTCGAAAAATTGATGTTTCGGCCAAATTCCCGATCTCAATCGAACTTCTTGTGCACATGGTGATTAAAATAAATGACGCCAAACGTCCCCCCTCTTCACCACTTTCCATTCTCAACCGAGCTCTTAAAGTAGTCCAACATAAGTAGCAGAATTTATAACCTTCAAATCCCTGCAAAATCGCTCTGACACAACTAGAGTTGCATGAGCTCACCCTGATGCGGATTTTAAAAGGTTTTACGGAAATACTGTTAAGCGTACTAGCTAAGGTCAAGCTAGCATAGACTCGAGACGGTTAGAACAATAACGAGGGAATTAACATATTGAATGAGGGGAAAATACTTGCGAGAGCTAAATAAACCGAAAAATTCGATTAGGTCACTTGTAATAAGTTCATGGTAAGTACAACCCTGTAATACAAGAAAATTAGCAACTTGCAGTCACAAGGTTACCATAAATGCAACCCTAAGCCACCCATTCTTCCTAACTAAGTAAGAGTATATAGATTCAAAAAGGCCCTCTCGAGTCCTGTATTTGGTCTACAGTGTATGTCTCACCCTAATGGTATCCCAGATTCGCCAAAAATAGGAATGCACTTTTTCCCGAGGCTTTCCATTAAAGGAAGACTTAAATTAGGAATCTTAGACGCAGTGTTAAGGATATCCGCACTCTTCTATTCCTATCGACTATAACTGACCAATGTGGTTGCCCATCAAGGTCACTGGAAGTGTGTGCCCGTGATCTCTAGAATAACAGACACCACACATAACTTAAAGAATTATATTTGGTAAGGAAACATGTCACATGTTATTAAACTGTATCAACAAATGCGATTACTTAGCTACAGAAACAATTGTGTGACCTTAAAAAGCGCATAAAAACGGTATATGACAATAAAAAGTATAGCGTAATGGTCACGAGAAATAAACGACGTCTAGTTAGTAAAATACTTCAGCGGATACAAGGATTATTTCATTTCTTCACCACATGCCCATTCTCATCATAGATGAAGAATCCACATCCAACTTTCTTTCCCAGTTTTCCATCAGCTACAAGTTGGCGCAAGGTTTGATTAAGTCTAAAGACACGTTCATCCGGATAACTGAGAGTCCAGTATTCCAGTGCGGCTACAATAATATCTAGACCAACATGGTCTGCCAGTTCAAAAGGACCCATTGGATGGCCTGCCCCTGCTCGCATTGCCAGGTCGATGGATTCCAAGGAGGCCTCACCGCGTTCGAACATTTCAACGGCTTCTAGAAGATAAGGGATAAGAAGACGGTTAACTATAAACCCCGGAGTGTCTTTGCATTGTACAACGGTCTTGTTTAAGGACTCGGCAAATGCTATAAAGCTCTAAAATAGAAAAGAAATAAATTCAGAATTTAGGTCATCGAAATATAATAAGGTGTATTTCAATTCGAACAAACATGTCACGCGAATAAGTAAAACAACAACGCAGTATTCATATATGCAAACCGAGAAAACGCATAAAAATTCTTACGACCGAATTCTTAACAAGATGCCATTTGAATGACTCAGAATATACAGGTAAAAACCCATAACAGAGAACTTATCATCATAGACAGGGAAATAATCATTTCTTAACATATTAAACTCTCTACGAAATAAAATCAGAGTCAATTATGCTGTCAGTGTCAAATGTTCTACTCACTGGTAAGAAAACATCAACTGGCCAACTTCGGAAAGACAAAAGCGGTCATTTTGTGAGAAATTCAGATATCAAAATTCGACTAAGAGAGCATAGAACTGATTTTCTGAACCTCTCAAATGTAGGCTCGAGAATGATATAAAAGGAAGTACCTATAAAATAATTCAATTTAACGCATCAAATGTTGCGGGTTAAGCAAACAACCAAGTATAAAAATCGAAACATTCCTGACCTTTAGTGCTTCATCAGAGGTAAAATGACACCTGATAATCTCCACGAGTTTCATCACATCCACGGGATTGAAGAAATGCAATCCACAAAATGACTCCTTTTGCGAAAACGTTTCAGTGATTTCATTGACAGAGATGGAAGATGTATTCGTCGTAAATAAGCACGATTGTGGAGCAAGACCTTCAAGAGTACTAAAATGGAATTGCGGTTTCAAAAAGATATGGACGATAATATAACGATAATTAGACTTGCTGGAATAGTCTGCGCTTAGCTTTAAGATCCTCCGTTATAGATTCAATAACTAGATCAGAGTCGGAAACGGCATCGTTGATGTCCTTAGTCAGTTCAATTTTCGACAAAGTTGATTCAACAAAGTCTTTGGATTTATGCCTTCGCAATCGGTGGAGAATTTTGTTAATCTTTTCTACCGATTTTTCTAATTGATCATCGTCACAGTCGAATAATTTGACTTTGTAGCCATAAGCTCCACATAGAGCAGCTATGCCAGAGCCCATCTGTCCAGAACCTATAACTGCTACGTTACTTATAGACCTGACGAAGTTCTGAAACGCAGGAGATATAAGAACTCTACTCAGTACCGGCATTTGTACTAAGAGTGTAGGCTATTCGCGTTGGCTAAATCGTGCCTTCTCAAATAGTAAGAACTACTTAAAATTAGTTATTTATTACAATAAAATATAAAAAAAATTTACTGGAAATATTGAAATAAAGTGATTTATGAAATATAAATATTTTACTGACCTAGAGAAATACGATGTACAATACCTCAAATTGCAAAGCCAACTTAACCGAGTAAGGTAGGTAAGTTGAATTTATTATTCCTTGATTATCCGCTGGTGATTTTGCACCTAGCCTTATCTAATTTTCCTTAAATACTGATAAATTAATTTCATTCTTTTAAGATGGCTAGGTGTATTGTAATTGGAGGCGGAATATCTGGACTCTCGACAGCTTATCTGCTTTCACGTTTACCTCGAACTCAAGTTGGTCATGTTTCGTTAATTGAGGCAAATTCATCCCGCCTGGGCGGGTGCATCTTAACTCTTCGCAATTCCGAAACTGGGGCTTTACATGATCTGGGACCACATAGCGCTCGAATAACTGGTCCTGCATCAAATCCTCTGCTTCGTCTTGTGTCTAGTTTGGGTTTTTCAAAAGATGAAGTCTTCTGGATGCCCTCTCTAACTCGTTATATTTATGCTGCAGGTGCCCTTAGACCTCTCAACTTACTTTCACCTTTATCTGAACCCCCTTTCACTCGGTCTCATCTGTCTCTGTTTATTCGTCGGGCACTAACTAAAGGTCCGGCACCCATCAAAGGAGACATTTCCGTAGATGAATTTCTAAGGTCACGTTTTGATGACGAATTCGCAGACTATCTGGGAACTGCTCTTATGCGAGGCATCTGCGGTGCGGATTCCAAAAAAATCAGTGCTTCTGCTTTTCTTAGTCATGTATGAATAGTATAGCTTAACATTTCTTTCATTAGATGATGAACTGGGAGCGAGAATCGCCTAATCTGGTTCTCGGAGCCATCAAAAGCATCATCGCTGGTAAGGTACAATCGTTGTATCCTACGAAAACCTACGATGTGCCCCAGGATACTCTGGATAAACTACTGCCACCGTTGAGGAAAGACATTGCACCACCGAAATTTGCTAATGTTTTAAACTTTTCTGCAGGAATGCAGGCTTTAACTGACCGAATCGTAAATGAACTAGATAAAATGGACAATGTACACATTAGCATGGGTAGCAGAGCTTGTTCGCTTGATTATAAGAATAATGCTTACAAGGTAGGTTTCGGTTTGGCTAATGTAAATTTCATCAGCTCGAAATCGAACAACCAAATTTGTTCACAACTGTAGATGCAGACGCTGTATTCATTTGTACTCCTGTTAAACAAATGGGAAATTTGTTATCCAGCCGTTCATTCATTTCATCAGATGTGACAAAACTGCTGAGTGCTGAAATTTTCCCTTCGGCTAGTATGGCAGTAGTCGCCTTAGAATTTGACATTCCGAAACCTAAATTGCCTCATGGATTCGGGCATTTGTTGCCGCTGTGTGAAGATGAAACTGTAATGGGCGTCATTTATGACAGCTGCTGTTCTCCGCTAATGGATGGGGAGATTGCTTCACGAAGGACCACCCGATTCACTGTCGTGCTATCTCCTAGAAAGGAGTGGCTCGAAGCAACAGAAGGAAAAACCTCTTTCTTTTTAGAACCTACATTACGAAATGAACTCATCACAGCTGGAATGAATGCTCTAAAAATACAACTCGGGTTAAATATTGATAAACCTAGCTTCGCTCATGCCGGTTTATGGTGCAATGCAATTCCAACTTATCCTGTAGGCCATCTCGAAAATAAGGACAAAATTCGAGAGTCCATTCAGAAACGTTTGGGATGCAAACGAACTCTTCATCTAGTTGGGATTGCTTTAGATGGAGTTGGCATCGGCGATTGTGTTAAAAGTGCTGTGAATGCTGTAGACAATTTTTGTAAGCAATAAATTTTATGCACGAATAATAAAGACTATGCACAATATAAGAGCGATTTTATAAAAGCAATCATTTTATACATCAGAAACAACAATTGTTTATGGCAATAAATTAATGCTAGTAAGTCTTTTTAAACCCATATTTCTTCCGTTCGTAGAATAAGTCCGTTTTAGCGCTTCCAAGATTGACTATTTTGGGGCAACCGTCCCTCTAGAAAAGTAAAGTGAAATCATAGGCGACAACTTACGTCCTTCTCCATTATTGTACATTCTCTGCAGTAATATGCGTCTGAGACGCCGGTTCCTCCACATATAACGCATCTTCCTTGGTACGAGCCGTAGTTGCATTCATCACAAATTCGGACAAGAGTGCATGGACGAACGTATGAATCACAAATAACACACCTGCCATCACATTTTTCACAGAGTCGTCCTATAGCTAAGATTGCCATAAAATGAAGCAAAAAAGCTTACACACTCCTGGTTGTTTGCGGCAGAATATCAAATCCGGGTGGTGCTTAGCCATTCTAAAAAGTGACCTTGCGCAACTTTAAAAGTGTGCTAGTTGGCTAAATGAACTTAAATACAATACATCATATTCAAAACTAGTAAAACATATATAACAGCACAAATATTATATATTATTGTATTACGTACTTAAACCATTTTAAAATAGAGAGAATTGTACTTAGTATTAATCAGTTTGAACTCAACGGGTGTCATTTGAATTAACTTTCATTTCGGTGCAAGATTATGTCATATTTTCTAAAATGCTTAGTTTCACCTTATTTCTATTTTAACGTTTTGACATTGTTTGATGAAATTTGTATTATTAAAACTAAATAATTTGACTTGATTAAATTTGAAACTTTTTCCTTTTTTGGAACAGTTAATTTGATTTCGGAATCCGCTATGAGCTTATTTATTCTATCAAAATTAAGCCTTTGATATTGGCATTTCTAAGCTTAAATTCGACTTCTTCATGGGACACTTAAGGTCGGTAAAATTTCGGGCATTTTCACCCCTTTCATTTTTCGCATAAACCATGCATTACAACAAAGCAGTTGAATTATCTAAATTGATATATTGCCATTTGGTTTGAGGTGATCGGTCTTCAATTTTGCTTACTCTTTGAAATGGCCGTTTTCCACGTAATATTTCTTCCATCAACTTTTTGACGTTTTTAGTGATATTCGGTTTCTTTTCGTTTGAGTCCTTCGGATTAGGCATTCTGTCCCTTGAAAGTCTGTTTAGCTCGAAATCCTAGTGCTTTGATTACTAAACGTCCTCCAAATGATAAATTCTGTCATTCATGTAGCATTTAACGGGCATGTTATAATCTTCAAATACCGATTAATTGTATGGAAAAAAAATTTGCTGTAAGCGTTTGTATCTGCGAAATTTACTTCTCATCAAATCGTGGGGACATCAAAGCAAGTTTATGCTACGATATGACGTTCTTGGCTGCAATGGTTTATTATTTTGAAAATTTAGTTCTTAAGCAACTGATCTTTATTTTGTAAGTGTGGACAAGAGTGGTAATGTTATCCTTTCCATTTTACCATCAAAACCTGTATATAAGTTTATTACAAAAACAATGCTGCGCATATTCAAATAAGTCATTAAAAAAATTTAAAATTATCCCCCCTATCCTTAATGAAGCAACTATTAGGTTGGCAACTAAGTCATTGCCGATTTCAAATAAAATGGCAGATTCGGAATTTTTGTTTAAAAATATAACTTTATTCAATTAGATATTGGCCGTTCTTGTCGATGACCTTTTTCCATCGTTCTGGGAGACTAAAAATTCCTCGTTCGTAAAATATCTGGTCTTTGCTATTAAAAAACTGAATTAGGTGTGATCCGACATCATCCGCGTTGTTAAAAATTTTAACATTTATAGAGTTCTGCATGGAACGAAATAAATGGTAATCCGAAGGTGCAAGGTTAGGGCTATATGGTGGGTGTGACAAAACATCCCAACCCAGTTCCAATAATTTTTGCCGAGTAACCAAAGATGTGTGGGGCCTTGCGTTATCAAAATGTGTGGAAAACAACACTCTTCCGATTTGATAATGCCGGCCGCTTATCTTCAATTGCATCCTTCAGTTTTTCCAGTTGTTCAACATACACATTTGAATTTATCGTTTGGTTCTGCGGCATGAGTTCAAAATACAAAATTCCTTTATGATCCCACCAGACTGACAGCATAATCTTTTTTGGTGAATCTCTCTTTTTGATACTGTTTGGGCTGGTTGATCTTGCTTCACCCATGATCTATTGCGAGTAACATGGTTATA